CAGCAGTAGCAGCTCCTGGTTACATCAGCCCTGCTTTCAGAAGAACGGGGACCAGGAAGAGGAGATGAAACATCATTTCCCCAGACCCTCTGTTTTGTTCTTCTCCCCTATCTCTCCATCTCCCAGATCCTGGATCCTGTCTCTGTTAAGAGCGTTAACAATGAATGGATGTGCCTTGATCCCCAGGAGCAGAGGAGAGGGGACGATGCTGCAGGTCGTAACATTAAGAGCCCCTGGAGGCAGGCAGTTTCTAAATCTTATATAAAGAAATAAATGATCGTTCTAACAGCCTTGGTTTTTATCCAACCCTGAGTCACAGGGTAACGTATGCAACTTCCACCACTGGCCAAGGGCTCCCATCCAAGAAGGAAGACCATGGAGGAAGAGCTGCTTGGCTCAGATTGGATATCAAAGCCCACTGGCCGCTCATTCCTTAATTCTGGCTTTAAAGAATTCCTCCCTTTTCTCTCCTTTTCCTTGGTTCACTCTTTTTAGTACGAAATCCTGAGGGCAAGGCCTGATCAAGGCTTGTTTAATGAATGTCGGGAACCTTGGAAAACAACAAAGCTGGGTTTGCACAACAGATTTAGCCCTACTCTCAGGTTATCATAACACAGTGGCTGCATTCACACAATATCCTATTCCCAAACAAACATATTCCAGCTTTGTTCCCAGTGTATGGCTGGTCAATGTTTGAGTTCCCTCTACACAATGCACCAACTCAAAATCCTTAAGAGGGCTTCTCTTGAAGATCATTTCTGGACAGGTTCACACTGAGATGAAGCCTGGAGGGACTGCTTAGAATATTTAGGCATCTGTATATCTAAAACCCCTTGTGGGGAAGCCCCTGCAGAAAAAAAGACTTGCTTTCAGGGCCTAAAGACATCTAGGAAACGCCACTGTGACTTTGGACCACTGGAGGTTTTGGGTTGACCCAATCTGATGGCTCCTTTTTTCCTGCCAAACTGTGGTTTTTCAAAGGACTGCTACATTAAAAAAAAAAGATTTATGAAGCAATCCTGTGAAAAACCATGGTTTGGCAAGGAAACCCAAGACAGCAGGGATCAAAGCACAACCCCTATGGGAACACCATGCCAACGTGTCCAACATACACACTACTCTACCAGCCGTGTGCTTTCCCACCCCAAATTGTTCTCAAGTGATTTTAAAAGTTTCTAGTCCCACAATTGCAATGTCCTCAGCTGTGTTAATGGCTCCTGTGCCACTGCAACTAAAGCTGATAGAAAGCAGCTATCTGCTAGAAGACAAATTGATTTTCTGTAGAATGCTGAATGCTACCTCCTCCGAAATACTTACTGAATCCAACCATTTTGTCAGGCACTTTGAAATCTTCGGTTATTACCGCCCTGAAGAGAACAGGAAAGAAGATGCATCATAGTTTCTGCCTTCAGAATATCAAAGTTTGGAAAATTAGCTGTAGTAGCCAGGAGTTAGAATTGGTATGAGTTCAACATCTGGGAAACTGTACAACTAGGCCATGATGCAAAGTGAAGAAACGGGTTTGATATTATTGTAAGCATTCTAGTCTTTGTGGGGACCTGGTGTCCCCCAGTGGATCCTGCTGGTTGGGGTTTCTAGAGGACTTCCCCAGACGATGGAGCAGAAGCAGAAGATTCCTTCTTTTTTGTCACTGCTTAGACGTAACAATGAAAATAGGTAAGTTAAAACTTCTGCTAGACTTAACAAAGCTATTTTCAGTTGAAACTCTCCACCAGAATCTCCAAAGGAGGTTAAAAATTTGGCCTAGTTAACTCTATTAAAACTAGATATAGTTTTATCTATATATCATTAGCTACATCGTGTGGCTTTCAGAGACCCTCCCCCCAACAACCCAAAACACAGAAGAAAATGTGTTGACTATTCCTGGCTTATCAAACAAATCATAACTAACTGGATTCCTACTACATGCTCAGCCATGAGCCATTCTTTGCAAACCACACTGACTGGGATCAGAAAATACGTCAAATCACAAACAAGCAAACAACATTAAGATTTAGCATAATGTGTGAATCCAATTTAGGAATGGTCATCATTTGGCCAGAACAATGCAGCAATTGCTTCTACACAACATTTATCACCACCTCATCCTAATTTCCAACTGCAGGGACAACTAGTAAGTCCACAGCAAGTTCAGAAGAAGTCCTTCAGGAGACACCTAGCCACCTTAGATTTGTTACCTTTAGAAGCAACAATGCTCACTTGTTTATAAAAGTGTCTTGCAGCACCTTGAAGACCATCAAGCTCATTATGATCATAGCAGTCCATAATTTTATAAAGTCTGTACATAAGTGTATTTGCCCCCAATACACACATCAGTCTTTAAGATGCTATAAGATACCATATTGAGTCACTCTTGAGTGAGATGGACAGTGACTAAATTTGAAATATAAATAAATAAATAAATATTGTTTTTTGCAGCCAACATGGCTTAATTACTACTCCAGAAGCAAGTAAATTACCTTACTCTTTTAAAGAGATTAAGTAATTGAGAATGTCTAACAATAAGTAAGAGTAGGAATCAAACAGGGCCACTGAGAACCAGACGGGGACATCGGAATTCTTGGGGAAGACTTGGAGATTCATAAAAAGCATACAGAAGAAATAACAAACATGGTTAGAAACCTATAGAATGCAACTAGTATGGATTCAGTACATTATATCAAATACAGGGGCAGGAGGAAAGCAGGAGGAGGTTAGAATGACCTGCTTGACCTCTTTCCTAACCACGGTGCCACCCTGAACTGCTGGCCAATGGGTAAGCTGACTGGGAATTATGGGAGTTGCAGGTCTACCTAGTGGCTAGAATCCAGAAATGGAGTATTTCAAGTATGAAGTGAAGGAACCACCACCACATTTTAAGTCCCCCTTGTTACTAATGCCTTGAAAAGTATTGCATTCCAACTGCCAAGTAACGTATTTATGGACAAAGGTATGGAAGCTACATGTTAAGTTTTTATTTTGGAACCTCCAAAGAAGTCTGTTCCTTAGTTAGCAGTCCTGCTCAGAAATATTTTAGTTCCCAAATCTCTAAAAAATCAAGATTTCTGATGACCGAAGGAAGCAGTATCAAAGTATCTGCTTAGGGTTTTTTAAAAAAGAAACATTCAAAATTCCACCACCCAGAACAAGTCAAACAAAGAGATTTGACCCTGGTTTTATTTCTCCTCTTCTTTCAGAAAAGAGTGTCAACCTTGAATTTCTTGATGATCAGGAAAACTCTATTCATGGAAGTGAAGCGATTCTAACCACCTCAAAACTGAGCTGTGACCCCAAAACCTGGAGGTTCACATCTAATCACACCCACACATGGTCACTAGAAAGCCTTAGATCGATGTTTTCCAACTGTGGTAACTTCCAGATGTGTGGGCTTCAAATCCCAGAATTCCCTGGTTAGTACAACCAACGCTAAGATGCCCACATGTCTGAAAGTTGCCAGAGTTGGGTAACACTGCTTAGATAAAACATGTTCTCGTAGCTTTGGTTCTTTAACTTCAGGCCGGGGTGGAGTTGGAAAAATACCAGCGGCACTCCCACCACAAATCTGTGTTCCCCAGAAGCCCCTTTCCCCCACAATTTTTTAACAGCCACTAGTGGACATATCTAGCACTAATCGAGCCCATCTCCTATTATTTTTATCCTGACCTATTGCTGCCTTTTGTGAAAGCTACTAATGAAGTAGTGCAAAGCAATCTGGACATTCAAGCCATGTTTTATCATTGGCATGGTGATAGCTCTCCGAAGGATTATGTATTATCACGTTTCTACTCAATATGACCAGCTGGCCCTATTGAAACGAACTCTTAAAACCTGGCTCTGTCCCCAGGCCATGGGTCAGAGTGGCTAATGGACCACTTGTGCGATGTTTTACTCTTTTAGGCAACTGATTCTTTTTCCTGGACATTTTCTTCCCCTTCTTCAACCTCGCCCAAGCATTTCCCCCCTCATCGGCATCACGTAAATGTTTAATTGAAGCCAAGCTTCTTAGTTAATACGCCACAAATGCCTCATTCACCCTCCGCCCCCAAAATATACAATATTCTAAAGCACAAGGCTTAGAAAAGAGAGAGGGGGAGAGGAGACAGAAACTGCCCAACAGTTTTGCCACGTTCTCAACCTCTGACTTCGTAACACTTCAGTACAGATGGCGGATCAATAAACAATTACAAGTGATCGATAAATAATAAAACATAACCCACTGCTTACCTTTGATGTACTAGGGCCCCTAACTGGTTACCTACTGTGGCAGAGAAGAGAGAAAAAAGAAAAATCAAAGCATTAGCATGGATAAACTAACTTCATCTGGCCATTTTCATCAGGGCGAGGGGAGAAGAGAAGCGGAGCAAAAAACAGCAATTTAGATTCAGTGACTGAAATGAATGCGTTTCGTGGGACGGAAAACAGGAGGGGACGTCTTGATCCGCAATAGCCCGGCAGTAAAGCCTCCAGCTGAACGCAGGATAGGAAATTGATCCACCGCACTTCCATGCTGAGAAGCATGGGAGAAACACCCCCCCCAACCAAATCTCTAGAAGCGTATCACCCGTCCCATCGGGAATCTCCCCCAAATTCAAGCTGATATTAAAAAGATCAAGAGGATTGCCGCGCGTTAAAAAAAAACAAAAACAGACGGAGGCAAAACAAAGAGATCTGGAGAGATTCAGTCAAATCGAAAAAGTATTTGGAGAGAAAGAGCGAGAGACATACAAACATACTTCTCTGGTTCTCTCTTATCTGTGGTCCATGGATCCAATTTACACGAAGACCTGTTAAAGAGAGAGGGCTGTCAAAGAACCTTCATCATCACCGTTGAACGTCTTAGCACGTTTCTACTCAATATGTCCAGCTGAGATACGCAAGGTTGCCAGGTATCCCCAGCTCGTCTGAAAACTTATACCGATGGGCTACTCCCCATCAGCCTAGTTAGAAATGAAAAAGCATTTGAACTGCAAGAAAGCATCACATAAAACTAACGGACTGCGCTCAGTAATGTCTTCCAAGGACACCGCTCTATGGTGACAAAACATAAGAGTATTGTACCGGGAGCAAACCACAACCAGCCTTGGAACTACAAGGAGAAACCTGGATGCTTTCAGCTTCATCTTTCAGTTAAATGGGTTAATCTTAACACAGATTTGTTGGAAACTATTATTAACTATTCTGTTGGAGTTGGACAAAGGGATAAACCGTGTTTAATAAACTATTTTAAAAAGTGACCGCTCCTGACTTAAAGCTGGGTTTTTAAGGGGAAGGGGAAATAACTACATTGCAACCTTTTCATTGAATAATAAACCACAGTGAGATCCAAATTAGTTCATCGACTCAATTCAAAATTGTCTCTCGGGTAAACTTGAAGAGTTTAATTGGGTCTGATGCTACATTTGAATTGACAGAGCAAATGTGGCTTAACAGGAGATTTGAATTAACAAACCATAGTTAATTAAGGTTACAATGGTGTTTCTGGAAATTCTTCCCCAATCTATTAGTCTTCAGATGTGTTGCACTTCCAATTCTTATAATCTCCTTGCAGGATGAGAATTATGGCACCTGAAATCCAAGATTATCTGGAATCCCATCTTTGGGGGGAAGGCTGGAATAGAAAAATGAGAACTAATAGATGTAATTTATTGTTATTTTTAAGCTCAAGTGACTGTCTGATCTCTACAGTACAGCTGGCACAATCCAGTTTGGCATTATACCTCAATTAAATCACTCTGAAAGCAATAAATACAATGAAATCCATTTGAGAGAGAAAAAAAATTCTCTCTCTCTTTTTTAGTTTTATCATTAACTCCGGAGAGAGAAAGTAAGGCAATTGAATGGGAAACCATTTTAATTAGATATTCAATCAAAGAATATTCGATTGAATTTTCAAAGTGAATCGAACTGTCAAATCGAATTTCTGGAATGATTCAAACTGTTTGATCAGACAGAATCTATTTGATTCAACTGCCTTTGCACATGCACAAAATCACTCTTTTTCTGAACCTGATTTGTTGAATCAAACTGATTGGATTCAACATTTCAAGTAGATGATCTGAATCAAATTATTTGGATGTTTCTGATTGGAACAAGGTGATGTTCTGAACAGAACTGACAGCTCAACTCAGAAAACAATTTATTTGTACACCCTTTTACCATCTTGAACCCAACACACTCGCACATTATATTCATCTCTTGAAATGTCAGCTATGAATGTTCTCTCAAATACAAACATTCCTAGAACAGAAAGCTTTACAGGTATATATTAAGGGGCAAGATGAGTTTTATAAATCTTTCAGAGTCTTAACATACTGGTACCCCCTTAAAATCCCCACCCACATTTGGAATTCAGCCCCTGACATGACCATAAACCTTGGGAGAGGGGTTCTTAGGTCAACTGAAGTTGTACACCTCTGGCTGAAACCAATTTTCCCTAACCTGGCCTGCTCCAGATGCACTGCATCATAATTTCCATTCCAGTTGTTTGGGAATGCTAAATGTTGCCACCAGACATTACCTTTTGGAGAACAACTTTTGAGAATGTCCTCCTAAATACTTGCTGTAAAATCACTATATAGCTTCAAGTAATTTTTACAAACAAATGGGTCTTCAAATGTGTGAGCTTGACCTCTACAATTCTCACCAACGTGGCCATCACTGAGAATCCTGGGAGTTGAAGTCCACAGATGTATAGAGCATCCAGATAGGGAAAGACTCTTTTGAACAAATCTGATGATTTGTGAATTGCACCTCTCCCTCACCCTCTCCTCAGCACATGATTCTGACTCTGAAATTAAGACAAACACTCCTCTGTCCAGCCTTCAGAAACCTGGATGTCCTCCAGATGTTTGGACTTCAAATTTGAAGGAACTGAGATTCTGGAGGTGGACTCACACTTTTGGAGAGCACCCATGCAGTCTTAGCCATCTACAGAAGTTATTGCCCCCTCTGCGTTCCACAACTTCACTGACTCCAATTTGCCCAACCAGAAAGGTTTCCCCCTTCACATAAAAAAAAAGCACAGAAAGAGATCTCCAAGGCACTTTCCCTCTCACACAGAACAGATTCTACCAAAATACCTAGTATAGTTCACATCGCTCACACGGATGCAGTGCTAGCTCAACATTACATAAAAATGCGGCTATTCAGATCTAGCAATCAGCTGAAGGCCATTTCAATTACAAATATACAGATGAGGGGCAGTCAAACCAAGTTGCAATGAGATACATTCCCCTCAGACACTCATCCAGCTATCCACTTATTTTTGGGCCCCCCCAAAATGAAACAGCCCCCTTGTTAAGTCAGTGGAAAATGGGGAAGGACAACATTGAGGCATGCAAGAAACTACCAGTGGCCAAGGAAAAACTCAATGAGCCTTTGATTAAGCAAGTTGGAGATAAACAGGCACACAAGATCATGATCCTATTTCAGTTCTCCATCTGCAGCTTTGTTAAAATATGGCTCCTGATTTTAGTGAGCAAACACCTGCATATTTTTAATTCTCCTCTTGAAAGAAAACTGCTCCTGTGGCATTCATTCCTCTGCTGGTTGAAGAAACACTGATTAGCTATTGATTAAGCTAATAAAAGAAATTTGGGACAGAACAGGGAACTTGTTGGAATAGCCAGGAAACCCAAAGTCGTGAATTTAACTTAGCAGCCTTGCAAATCTAATGTTCTCCAGATACCACTCCCACCCCCATCACAGACTGTACGCTAATAGAAGAGAATATCTGTAGCTCAGAATTGAACTGTGGAGTTCTTGATTGTTTGTTTAGTGTTAATCCCTGCTTATCTGGGTGTTGGTTGCTGGAGAGGATGTGTTCTGGTCTTTTTGTTTCCTTCTTAGCTTTCTGTTGTCTCTTTTGAATGGTGTGTAAATATCGATTATTTCTATGTGCCTACTGATGGCTGATTTGTCTGAATGCCAAGCTTCCAGGAATTCCCTCGCATTTTTGGATTTGGCTTGGTCTAGGATGCTCACAGTTTCCCCGGTTGAAACTGTGGTTGAGTCTGTCAGATAAGCAGGGATTAACACTAGACAAACAATCAAGCAGAATCAAGGAGACAAACAATTAAGCAGAAGACAATACCTAATCAAGGAACTACCAAGGAGAAAACCACACCCCACCAACACCAGCAGGGCAAGCTACTGTATATAAACAGGGAGCAAACCCAACACTCACTAGCACTGATTATGCTACCTAGTTTGGTAATAAAATGTCTACAAGCAAACAACCAAACTCAGAGAGTACCAATGACTCGACAGATCATATTCTGAAGGGGATCTGATTGAAGAATGTCCGAGTGTATGTCTGTGGTTAACAAAGTTGATCGAAATTAGCACATGGGAGAAGAATTTGTCACACCAAATATTCTTCTTCCTAGGTTATCAACGAATACAGGTATTTCAGTATGGCTTCTTCTGAACTTCTGTACTCTTTTGTGTGTGTGGTTAGATCATTTTTTTTTCCATATTAAGTTATCAATTATGTTTGATTGATGCAAGGCAGAAACTTAAATATTTGATTCTATTCCCTGTGCCAAGTCACGGTTAGCTTTAGCCACGGCTCACAAATATAGTGTTTGCACAATGTGCAATGGTCCCGGGAGGTAGACTAAGAAACTGTAAGAGGCCCAGAGTAACCAAAGAAACTCACATCTAATTGGAGATGGGACTTAAGCTGAAGGGGTTTTTTTTTTGTGCTGCCTCTTCACAAAAGAGTTCTGCATTAGGTGGACAATATTTCTCCAGCAGAATCTCCATCCAACTTGAAATTATTTATTTATGGCATTCATATTCCCAGCTTTCTCACCAGGGTGTGTGTATGTGTGTGAACATGGCTGTCTTTCCTTACCATCAACCTTCCTTATCATCAACCATAGACAGAGGTTGGAGGGGGAAGAACGGAGGTTGGAGGGGGAAGACTGAGAATGACTCAATGATACCCATGGTCAAGCAACACTCTACATGCTAACTAGTTCCAACCTACCCCTCAAGCTGAGGAAAAACTCTCCCTAGTATACAATTTTCTCCTTGCAGAGTAATTTTAGCATGACTTGTGGCTAACATGATTGGATTTGTTTTTTTGCTTAGCAACAATATGTGAATGAAGCCACTATGGATTGCTTTAAAAAATCTGACCTAGCCTTGTCTGAATATAGCTTCTTATTGTTTTTTTTTTTTTAAAGGGAGCTCCACATTTACCATGGAGAGTACTACAATCTATTCTCCCTTCTCTAGACTCATTCATTTGTAAACCAGATTTCCTCCAAAGAAAAAAAAAAGTTAGAATTATATAGCGATGTGAATTTCCTTTGGCAAGAACTCTACCTATCCATACAGGCTCAACAAATGTACCCTCCTTTTTTTTCTATATAACCCAGAACCTCCAACACACCAGGATAAGGCAAAGCAACAGAACCAAAGACCTGTTCCAGATACCCTTGTGATACCACATACTGCAAAAGAGTTCAAACCTACCACAAACAATTTAAAGCACTGTTTGCTGTCAAACAAGGCCCCTTATTTCTGTTAAGAGAGGCAGGGCTGGGGGGCAGAATGCAAACTCTCGTTTATAGTCCAGGCCATCAGCCTCCGAATAGCAGAGGAGAGGCAGCTGAACTCGCAGGCCACCCGATCCACTCTTCTTCCCCACTTTTACATCTGCCAAGCACAACTGGTATAATGGCAGTCATTTTACTGCAAAATAAGGAAAAAGGCGGCATAAAAATCAGCCCCATTTCCCATTTAAATTGCTCTCCCATCTTGGCGTTGGGTTGAC